CAGCCTGGTCTATAGATCGAGTTCCAGGACAAGCTCCAAAACAATACAGAGAAACCCTGTCTCGGAAAAAAAGAAAGGAAGGAAAAGAAATGCAAGAGGAGGGGGCTGGAGAGATGGCTCAATGGTTACGAACACTGCTGCTCTTCCAGAGGTTCTGAGTTCAGTTCCTAGCAACCACATGATGGCTCAAAACCATCCATAATGAGATCTGATCCATCTTCTGGCCTGCTGGTATACCTGCAAACAGCGCACTATATACATAATAATACATAATAAATAAATAAATCTTAGAGAGAGAGAGAAATGCAGGGAGAGTCTGTACTGGTAAAGAAAGATCCCAAGAGCAGCTGCAGGGAAGAAGCTGCTGCCATAACCTAGAGGCTTGAAAGCACAAATGTGGAATTGAATTCATGGCAAAGTGAAAAGACAAGGCAGAACAGGAAGGTCCAAACAGGAACAGGTGGAGAGGCAGTCAGATAGGCTGTCAACTGTGTGGAGAACCAAGCCATGGTCTCCCTAAAGCAGTCAAGAGACATCTGCCCTGTCCTCCTTGATGCACAGTAAAGAATCGTTATATCTCATTACCTGTTTAAGCTAGATTATTTGAATCCACTTTTTTTACAAGCAACAAATTGTAGATTTTAAAATGTCACCTTAAAAGTGTTTTAGTAACTGGGCAGTAGTGGCACACCTTAAATCCCAGTACTCAGGAGACAGGGGCAGGCGGATCTCTGTGAGTTTGAGACCAGCGTGGTCTACAAGAGCTAATTCCAAGGCAGCCTCCAAAGCCATAGAGAAAACCCTGTCTCGAAAAACCAAAAAACAAACAAACAAAAAAACCCCAGTAACTTGAAAAGATTATAAAAGAGATACCAAATAAAAGTTATTAGAAGGACCCCAACCCAAAATGACTTAACAGATCATTAGAGCCAGTTATTTTCTTTACGACCTTTGTCAAAATCCCTGATGCAAAATATTGCTTGTGCTGGGCTACATCTTCTCCCAAGCTCTGCAATCCTAAATGCTCCATTTGCCACCATGATGAGCATCTGCAATGCTTAGCCAGGCTACCTGATAAACATGGAACACTGCAACCTTTTGTATCTTATGAGAACTGTAGGATGAAATACATTTTCAGATATGATCTTCTGTTCCAGCTTTCCTACAGTGTTGAAGATGAGAACCACAAGAGTATGTCCTAGCCAAAATGGAAGAGGACTCTGATTATATTCCACATGGGTGTATGACCTCACTGATCATGATGTACTCACACTGGTGTCTTGCCTTGACCTAGAGTCAAGACCATGATGGCCATGATTGTGAACCTTACCACTAATGTTGTGTCTTTGCATCTCAAGAATAACCAGGCAGCCTTATACCTTTATTCTGACACCCTCGACTTCTGGGTTAGTGAAATGGAACTCAAGTACTACCAGGCAGGTGTGTCAGATAATTAAAGTGAGAATCAGTGTATCTCACAGATGAGCTAAGACACTGGTTGGTACTGAAGAATGATATCTACACCTGATAGATTCCAGGGAGAACCAGAAGATCCAAGAGTAGAATTTCTTTTTGTTGTTGCTGTTGTTGTTCCTAACAGGCCCATTGGCAAAAAAACAAAAAACAAAACAAAAAACAACTATCTATGATAGCAAAGAGTACAGCCAGTTAGAAGTACTGATGTTCAGAACTTCTCAGAAGCTTGGATTCTACCTCTGAAACCTGCTTAAGCATCACAGGTCTTGTGTCTCAGCTACTATCTTGTGAACCCTGGTTTTGTCTGTCTGTGCTGTAGTATCTGCTCCAGGCTTTTGTCACAATCTCCCAGAGCAAGCTCACTAGCTGTATTGGTGAGTTTTGTTTCAAGTGAGTAACTTCGCTGAGTTCAGTATATAAGGTAGAATACATTCAAGGAAGAGCTAGGTGTCTATCTCTGGCACCCCCACACATGTGTATGTGCATATGAAAGAAAAAGGCAAAAAAAAAAAAAGACACTTCCCTGAAAAATGGTCACCCACTAGATCACTTGCACATATAATTATCCTGGTTATGCAACGTGTGGGCACGCCAAGTAATCACAAGTCATGCTCAAGAACCTAGCAGAAGCAAGCATAAAGCTCTAGAAGAGGTATTTACCCAAGCCCCAGCAAATCAGACCCTTACAAATGATTTTTAAAGACACAAAACAAGGTCAAGGGAATAAGGCAGCAGAGACACACCTACAAGGAAAAGATTACAGAAACATGTAGTAGAAAAAACTAGAAAGCCAGTTAACATATTTGAACAATGATTGCAGAGAACAGTGAATTATACACAAAAAAGAGCAGATTTAAAAGAAAAATTCTAGCTAAAAACAAAATTAAAATCCCTGAATATTTTGACAGCAGATTGGATTTAGCTAAATAGAGAGTAAAAACATCATTTTATACCCCTAGTACACAAATGCACTTTGGGATCCCTCTCCATATAGAGGGATACTTTCTCAGCCTAGACATACTGGGGAGGGTCTAGGCCCTGCTCCAAATGATATGACAGACTTTAAGGATCCCTTATGGGAGGCCTCCCCTCCCTGGAGAGTAGAAAGGGGTTGGGATAGGAGGTCGGTGGGTGGCAGGGGAGGAGGGGAAGGAGAGGGAACTGAGACTGACCTGTAAAACAAGCTTGTTTCTAATGTAATAAAGAAGTGCAAAAATTATTTTAATGTTTTGTTGAGAAGATACAGAAAACAGAGACTATATTAGAGAAAGAAGGGTGTGGGAAAACATAAGGGAAAGAATGTTGGAGAGTTTTAAATTTCAAACAGAAATAATAAAAAGAAGCAAGCCTAGACACAGAAAACAAATCATTAAAAAAAAAAAAAAGTAAACCGTCAGAACCCTGTGGGGTGTTGTCCTAAGAAAGGTAACTGCCAATCTGGATTGCTACATTCATTGATATCAATGCTGAAAATGAAGGATATAGCTCAATTGGTAAAGTGCTTGCTTAGCATACAGAAAGTTATGTGATTTTAGGTTTTTGTTTGTTTTGTTTTTCAAGACAGAGTCTCTGGGGCTTTGGAGGCTGTCCCAGAACTAGCTCTTGTAGACCAGGCTGGTCTCGAACACAGAGATCCACATGCCTCTGCCTCCCAAGTGCTGGGATTAAAGGCCTGTGCCACTACTGCCTGGCTGAAATTTCTGGGTTTAATCACCAGTGCTGCAGAAAAACCAGGCATGGTGGCCTATTCTATACTTCCAGCACTCAGGAGACAGAGGTAGGAATACAGGAGACCAGGATACGTAAGGATGGCCTTCATCAGATAACATTAAGCACAAATAGAGGGTTTTATTACTTAAGAACAGGTGCCAGGTGTTTGTGTCCCATGCCTTTAATCCCAGCACTCAGAAGGCTGAGGCAAGCAGATCTGTGTGAGTTTGAGGCCAGTGTGGTCTACAGAATGAGTTCCAGGAGTGAGGACTATACAGAGAAACCTGTTTCTAATCCCCCCCCCAAAAAAACCAGGCAAATGCATGTCGTGTAAGTATTGCTTATACTACACAGCAGTAATATCTGTAGGCCTAATCATAGGAAATACGAAGAATTCTATTCTTGAATCGAAACATGTAGAAATGGGAGTTCAAGCTGTTAACTATTTCTGTAATATGCAAGAGTAGTGAAGGTTTAGATTAGAGGTGGCAGTTTATGTCTTGCCTCAGGTGTGGGAAAAGGAGTTGCAAGGGGCAGAACCCAGGGCTTTGTCGGTGCTAGGCATTTGATTTACTACTGAGCTACACCCCAGCTCAGTGTATATGACTAAGATAACCAACCAATAAGAACAGTTTAAAGGCTAGGCTTACAACCCAAAACGAGGAAGTATATAATTTCCAATCCAGTAGAGCAGGGAAATTTGAATCATACACTGTGCATTAAGTTATTTCTACAAGAGCATTTACTATAGGATAGTTCATACTGCCCTCACAGGGGAATAGGTTATTAATACTCTGTAACAATTAAAATAAACTAATTTTATATAATAACATGAATGTGTCTGAAGTAGCAAGCCCCAAGAGTAATACAGTATATGAATATGTAATTCAGCTTTACATATGAAGTTTACAACTAATCGGCACTAAACCTTTTTTGTTTGTTTGGGCTTTGTGCAAATAAACCAAGATACTAAATTGTATTGTTTTTAGTGGGTTGACAAGCTTTCCCATAAATATCAAATAGTGGGATAAAAGCCTGTGACAGTCAAGTCAGTGGTAGCATGTTTGGTACATATATTTGATAAAAAGATTACTTTTAAAGGAAGGGGAGCCAGATAATAACCATTAAAATGGGCTATGGAAGGAAGGAAGAGTACTGGTCAACAAAGACTTGTAGGATGTGGTACTACTTTGTTGTGGCTTGTGTGGAGGCCATCTAGGTGTTCACTTTTTGTCTTTTTAAATTTCCAATATTTTATGTGTGGGTGTTTTGCCTGCATGTGTCTCTGTGCACCATACCCACTCTGGTGCCATCAGGCCAGAAAAGGTTGGAGATAGTTGTGAGCCACCTTGTGAGTGTTGGGAATTGAACTCAGGTCTTCTAGAAGAGCAGCCAATGCTCTTAACCACTGAGCCATCTCTCAGTCTAGACCCCTATCCTTTAAATTTTCTGTAAAAATTATGTGACAATAAAGTAACACTTATAAATTGTCAAATGTTTTCTTAAATGATGGTTATTTAATTTTATATGGAATTCAGTTTGCTTTTAAATTGTTCTGCTTATTTTCCCAAGGTTCCTATTAAAGAAATATACCTGAAAGAATTAAATACTAAAACAAAGCTGTATTTATTAAATCATCTTGCTGGCCTTAAAGCACACTAACATTTAATCAAAAATAAAATATAAATATTACTACTTTTTTGTAGGACGTGAGCACTAGGTAAGGTAGAGATTGGGTCTGTGGCTTGCAGTTAACATCTTGGCTTATTTACACCAGGCATTAACAACTGTCCCTCTTAAAAACCCTTTCACAGGCTCAGTAGATGAAGGAGTTACAGAGGGGTTGCCTACACTTCAAAGCACTTCTAGCACCAATGCTCATGCAGACGATGATGACAGGTTAGTACCTACAGTGTGTCCTTTTCTCGTGAAGATTGTCCTTAGAGCTCTACATTCATTTTGTGTATTTCCAAAATTGTCTAATCCCCTTACCTTACATAAGACAATTGCTCCCTTGCCTGCTAAGTTTGGCCAGTCTTGTTCTAGATACCATCCATAATTCCCAAGGAATTGTCTTTATTTAGCTTCTGAGAACTATACATTATCCTTTTCCTTCATCACTTCTCACTTAGTCTCCCTGTGTTTAATCATTAAGTCCTTTCAACTCTATCTTCAAAATCCTTAGTTCACTTTTCCTCTGTACTACAGCCACGTTGGTTTAAGTCACCACTGTATTTCTCCTGACTACCATAGTAGTCTTGAAATTAGCCCTCTGTTTGTATTCTTCCACTTCTTAAGTCTATTCTCCAAGTACTACCAGATCATTTTTAACTAAGATGTCATTGTTTTTACTTATAATCTAAATTCTTACTGGGTGGTGCTGGCACACACCTTTAATCCCAGTAGAGATTAACGACAAGAGGCAGGCAGCAAATCTCTGTGAGTTCAAGGTCAGCCTGGTCTACAGAGTGAGTTCCAGGACAGCCAGGACTACACAGAAAAACCTTGTCTTGAAAAACAAAAATAAATCTAAATCCTTGCTGTTTATAAAAAATATTTTTCCTACCTTTGGTCCTTTCTATTTCACAACCTTTGCTAAAATGTTTTCTCCCCTGATTTCCACTCTTTTGATATTTTTTATAATTTTATGTATATGAGCGTTTTGCCTGAACATATGTTTGTATTCTATATCTCTGCCTGGTACCTGCAGAGGCCAGAAGAGGGCATTAAATCCCCTGGAACTGGGGTTTCAGATGGTTATAAGGCATCATGTGGGTGAAGGGACTCAAACCCAGGTTCTGGAAGAGCAGCCAGTGCCCTTAACAACTTCTCCAGGCCCTTCTTTGACTGTGACCTTCAGATAATTAACATATTGTTTCTCAAGGAGGCCTTCTGACTATCAGTTTAAACCAGCACCCAGTCACTGTTGGATCTTCCTGATTTAATTCTCTACCTTTTGGTGTTTTTCTATGATTATTTATTGTTTGTTTCTAACTACTGAATATAGATTCCACTGAATGTATTCCTTACTTCATTAAAAGTGTAGAACAGTTTTAATACCTGCATTTGCTGAAAACTTGAACGATTCAAAGATGTATTCTCTAGTAGCTAAACCTGGAAGTTTTGTTGTTTTTTGTTTGTTTGTTTGTTTGTTTGTTTCCTGAGACGGGGTTTCTCTGTGGCTTTGGAGGCTGTCTTGGAACTAGCTCTTGTAGACCAGGCTGGTCTCGAACTCACAGAAATCCGCCTGCCTCTGCCACCCGATTGCTGGGATTAAAGGCGTGTTTTTTTGTTTTTCCAAGACAGGGTTTCGCTGTGTAGCTTTGGAGCCTGTCCTGGAATTCGTAAACCTGGAAGTTTATGAACCAAAATCATTTCAAAGGCATAAATAAGCACATGTCCTTATTCCTTAATTTTAAATAGTCATCAAGTTGTCTATTCTTTATTAAATACTTTGCTAAGTTATGGGAATATGGAGATGGAATAGCCTTTTCTCTTGAGAGCTCTGTTGTATTTTCAGGGAAGGAAAGAGGTTGAAGATAGATAGGGAAGCAGATCATCAAGTAATCTGTAGGGAGTTTGTGCTGTGTGTAGGAAATCACGTACTTCAATGAGTCAGTGAAGGTTTACAGGAAGAGGAGGTACTGCCTCAGCTACATTTTTATAAAATGAGTAGGTACTATCTAAGCAAAGAAAGTAGGCTTGTATAGAGAATTCAGTGTGGGAAAACACAGCATATGGCACTCTTGAGGAATTATTTTACATAACTATATTTTGGGGAGTGGGCATGTGACCAGAAATGAGACTAGATACGGGAAGATAGAGTTCATACTTGAGTAGTTTTGGACACTTTGTGGAGGTTAATAATTTATTCTGATGAAGACAGTTACAGCAAGATTTAAAGGGGGGGGGATGATAAAGGCCTAAATTAAAACAGGAGCAGAAAGAAGGGGATTCAAGAGATTTGAAGGGTGTCTAAGGTAAGATAGCTTGTGATATGTTCTGTGTGTTTTTTATCCCTGCTTAAAGATGTGGGAATTTTGGATAGTAACATTGCTTAGCAAATTTTTCTAGGTGAAAATCTTTGTAAAAGTCTGTTTTTCCTCTGTTCATTTAGAATGGGGCTGCAGAGATGTGTATTCAACTTAAAAATCAGAGCCTGGTTGCCTTCTTTGGTTTGTTTTTTTAGATTGGAAAATGTTCAGTATCCCTACCAACTCTACATTGCTCCTTCTACCAGCAGTACAGAACGACCAAGTCCAAATGGTCCAGACAGACCTTTTCAATGTCCAACCTGTGGGGTTCGATTCACCCGTGTTCAGAACCTAAAACAGCACATGCTTATCCACTCAGGTAATGTTACCTTTGATGTTGTTGCATAAGGGGGCATGTCGAAACATTTTACCTTGCTATCCCAGTTAAAATAGAATTTGTGCTGGGCATAGTGGCTCATGCCTGTAATCCCACCACTCAAGAGACAGAGGCAGGAAGATCCAGAATTTGGGACCCAGCCCAGTCTATATAATAGAAAGGCTCCATCTGAGAAAGGGGGTGGGCACCCAAGGAACGTGAAAAGAAGTGGAGGCTGGGAAGGATGAGGGAAGTGTATTAGAGACAGAAAATAGTTAAAAGTCCTGAAAAGTCCCATGAGGCTAGGTTGGCTAGCTATGCTCTCTTTTTGAAATGTTGGGAAAATAGCAAATTTACCACAGGTATCAGACATTCTGATTAAAACTTTGAAGTAGTATGTATGGTAAATATACAAGTTAACATGTACTGGGTATCTTAGATACATGTTTATAAGTGAGAAAAGCACAAATTAAAATAGAGTTTAAAAAAACTATACATAGGTGATTCTTTGAGTTTCTCTGTAAGTTTGAATTTCTTGCCAAGTTAGAAAAGAAAAACACTTAAAGAATTTGATATTTTCTTTTAATTCTGTCAGTCTCTGGTTTTGATTGGTCAGCTTTGTAGTACTTTTTTGATAGAAAAAAAGAGATGTTGGATAGATGTGCAGGCAGTTTTTAGTGAAGCTTGTGAGTAGTGATGACATGAGGGTAAACAGTAAAACCCTGACCTTAAGGACAGGAGCCCTTTGCTGCTGCTTTTAGCTGTGTCTCATTTCTCCTTCTCTAGATAGATAGGTCTCATAGTCTCTGTCCTTGTTAAATCCACAGGTTATGTTTTGCAGAGTTTTAACGCCTCCCCAACTCCTTGCAAATTTCGATAGTTACTGTAATGAGACTATTAATATACTTTAAACTGTGTACACCTTTAATACCAGCTCTCAGGAGGCAGAGGCAGGTGGATCTCTGTGAGTTGGAGGCCAGCCTGGTCTACAAAATGAGTTCCAGGACAGCTAGGGGCTGTTAGAGAACAAAACCCCCTTATTAATATCTAACAATATTAAATACTCAAAAGCTAATTCACAATATAATGAGCCTACCATGATCATCCATTTTTCTTACTTCTGTCTAAAGCATTATCTCTGTTTTCCTGTTGCTGTGATGAAATACTTTGAGAAAATAACTTAAAGGATAAATTCAGGCTACAGTAAGTCCATCATGGCAAGGAGGTCATAGCAGCAGGAACTTGAGAGAACAGTCATTGTTCCAGTGAAGAACAAAAAGCAGTGCATGCAAGAGAGTATTTGTCTTGCCCTGTCTGTTAATACAGTTCAGGATTCCCTGCTCAGGGAAAGATCTCACTGGCAGTTAAGCTAGATCTATCTTCACACATTAATTAACTTAATAAAGATAAACCCTCAAAGACATGCCCAGAGGCCCATCTTCTACATGAATCATCACAGATAGGTTTCACTGTAAACCTCTCTAATGAAATACATTTTGTTACCCCAAGGGGTGTCTGAATGATATATAGTTTAAGTGTGTTTTGCAACTAGAGGCTTGACTCCGTGGTAGGACACTTGGCCTAGTGTTCACAAGGCCCCTAGAGAGAATCCTCAGCACTACAACAAATAAAATAGTTAATGTTCTACTTTCTTCTCCTTTACTGTGATAAAACACTAACGAAAAGAAACTTAGGAGAGAAAGGGTTTCTTTCCATCATTTAGGGAAATCTGGGCAGGGCCTGATAAACAAAAAAACCATGGAGGGATGATGCTTGCTGGCTCACTCACAAGCTCATACTTCGATAGTTAGCCACTTAAGCTCTTAACCACTGAGCCATCTCTCCAGTCCCGATTAGTTAATTTTTGAAGTTTCTAATTACATGACTTAGAAGAACATTCAGAAAACATTTCGGTACATATTACCTAGTTGTCTCCTCCCCATCCTGCTCTTTTTTTAAGCACTAGTGACTTCAAATATTCTGGAACACCTCTGAAATATGTTAGAGCCTGTTTTGTTGGCAGTTTTAGTTTTTTAAAATTATTGTTATAAAACTATTATTCAGAATTGTGAGATTTTTATGGCCTTTCAGTTTATTTTATTTTTCAGATGGTATTTTGCTGTTTTGTTTTATAGGAATTAAACCATTTCAGTGTGACCGCTGTGGAAAAAAGTTCACCAGGGCGTACTCGCTAAAGATGCATCGCCTAAAGCATGAAGGTAAACGCTGTTTCCGGTGCCAGATATGTAGTGCCACTTTCACTTCCTTCGGGGAATATAAACACCATATGAGGGTTTCCCGGCACATTATCCGCAAGCCTCGGATTTATGAGTGCAAAACATGTGGCGCCATGTTCACCAACTCTGGAAATTTAATCGTGCACCTGAGGAGTCTGAACCATGAAGCATCAGAGCTAGCAAACTACTTCCAGAGCAGGTGAGGTGCAGAGGGAAAACCCAATCAGGGAAACTGCTTTCTAAACTCTCCTGCTTTAGGGCAGCCTGCTGTTTTATTATCAGGTTGCCAGCTAATTAGTCACATTCATTTTCAATTGCCACTGTGCATACAGGCTCTGATCTCCTTATCTGATGAGATTTTCCCAAGTCTCCTAAGTGATAAAGTCATACGTGTTTTATAGTCCTAGAGGGCTGGAGAGATGGCTCAGAGGTTAAGAGCACCAACTGCTCTTCCAGAGGTCCTGAGTTCAATTCCCAGCAACCACATGGTGGCTCCCAACCATCCCTTATGAGATCTGGTGCCCTCTTCTGATGTACAGATATACATGGAAGCAGAATGTTGTATACATAATAAATAAATAAAATCTTAAAAAAAAAAAAGAAATCCATGATCTTTAAAAAAAAAATTATTTCCTAGAAAATAAATAGTAAAAATATCCCCACAGAAGAATATTTGTCCTCCTGGGTATTTTTTAAATGAAGTTAAATAAATTTTTATATTGGATCTTAACTAGATCTTTCTAGCAGATATCCCAAGTCAGTGTTTCTTAGTAATGTGCAGTTCAGACTATAGCTGCTACCAAAGTTCTTCAGCACCACCCCTCCTTTTTTTAGCTGTGTGGTGGTGATGCACACCTTTAATCACAGCACTCAGGAGGCATATGCAGGCAGATCTCTGAGTTCGAGGCCAGCCTGGTTTACAGAGTTGATAGTTAGGGATACACAGAGAAACCCTGTCTTTGAAAAAAGAAAAAATAAAATAAAATCTTACATAAAGGAATATCCATTTTTCAATAAAAACATTGTTTGAAAGCCAGTTCCTGTTTTTCTTAGTTAGGTGTTCTGACTTTTAGCATTAATAATTTAGCATTATCTTTCTGATTTATAGGTTATTCAAGTAAAAAGGTTCTATTTCAAATATAATATTCCTTCTAAATCTTTAAAGTTTTTAATTAAGCTTCATTTTTAAAATCTTTTCAGTTCTAAATTATTCATGAATAGATTTTGTTTTTCCCTTCAGATCAGGCATTCATTTTATTTAATCACTTCTGACTCTGAATGTATAGTTATTATCATTAAAGCTAGATTATGCACTTAATAAACATAGTTGTTTAGGAATAAAATAGTCCAGTTTCCCTACTCCTATGTGTATCTTTTCCATATAGGGCCCTGTATCTTATACTACTCTTGTCTCACCCATGAAGACTTTTTAGGAACAATACCACAGACATTAGAAATTACTTTGCAGACAAACAGATTTTAATAATTCTGAATACTCAAATTATTAAGTGGTCACTTCAAATGCATGTTACTGACAGGTCTACTATAATATCCTCTAAAGTTCAGCAATGAAAGTTTTTTTGTTTTTCAAGGCAGGGTTTCTTTATATAGCCTTGGCTATCCTGGAACTCACTTTGTAGACCAGGCTGGCCTCCAACTCACAGAGATCCACCTGCCTCCTCCTCCCAAGTGCTGGGATTAAAGGTGTGCGCCACCATCACCAAATTCTTATAAAAGATAATCTATTACTGTTTCCATATACTGTATAACTAGTAAAATGAACACTATTTTCTCCATCTTTCAACTTCACATAGTAGAATATATGTAAGGTCATCTGTGCATAAGGACTTAACTTCTTAGCTAACCTATATCCAGTTGGTAATATAGAGATAGGTTTATGTATAGTCTCATACCCAGTATATGTTCCAAGACAAGTTAAGCATTTACATTAATCACATGATTTTTACTTCAGTGAAATGCCCCTTAGGTTATGTACAGACTCCTGTATGTAGATTCAGAAAGACCATTGATGTGTCAAGAGAACCACTGAAGTGGTCATTAACCCTTTTTATTGCTCTTAGGGAGCTGTGATACACTTTGGTTCTACTGAATGGCTTCAGTTCATATTCAGGAAAACTTATTTATTAACAACTTCATTGAAGAATTAGTGAAATGAGAACTACAGCTGGGAGGTGGTGGAGAATTAGTAAAATGAAAAGTCCCAATCTTGTTTTACAGATGACATTTCTTTATTGTAATTTGAAAATTAATTCTGTATTTTATCCTTTGCCTTTCATTTAGTGATTTCTTAGTGCCGGACTACTTAAACCAGGAGCAAGAAGAGACTCTTGTTCAGTATGATCTTGGAGAACACACTTTTGAAAGCAACTCTTCTGTTCAAATGCCTGTGATCTCACAGGTCTCCTCAACCCAGAATTGTGAAAGCTCTTTCCCCTTGGGGTCTCTTGGTGGGCTTGCAGAGAAGGAGGAGGAAGTGCAAGAGCAGCCAAAGACCAGTGTTCATGCCGAGGCTACCCAAGATGACCCCCCTAAGTCAGAGCTGTCTTCTATAACTATCGAGTAATTTTGTGATTTGGCCTCAGTTTTGGTTTTTGGAAAGTGCCTGTGCTTGGTCTTAACGTTTAAATTTAATTTTTTAAACAAAGAAGGGTTCCCTTTGTAAGCCCTGTAATTGGAGGGTTGCTTTGTTTTTTTCATAGCTGAGAAATTGCTTCTGTATGTATACAATAAGGTAACATTGAAGCAGAACATAGACTCCAGAATTAAGGAAAAGCAACTGATTTCAAATGGTGGTTCTTCCTCCCATTGTTAAAAGTGGTCAGTAGCAGATACAGAAGAAACTAGGTTATTGACCTTCCTGAGATGAGAGGGCTCATGGGAAGTTACTAAACAGAATTTGACAATGCCTAAGTAAATGTTTACTCCTAGGTGCAGGGTGTTATAAACCCTGTAGTTTTGGAAGTATTTATGGTAATTTTTTTTCCAAATGAAGGCAAATAACTTTTGAAATCCAGCATATTCTTTTTTTAAGCCATTGTGGATTTTCATGGTGAAAAATTGGTATTGGCAGGCTTTTCCTGTACCTTTATAGTACCACTCCAGAGGCTAAGCAGTGTGATTGAGAGGAGTCAGGCTGTGCATGGAATGGCCAGGGTGCAGAATGAGGTATGTATACCCCAGCTTTATAGGAATTGTTTTAATAATGTTTTTCTTACTAGAATGAATGTTTACCTGGCCTTTGGATACTGATACCTGGCTAACTAGGACATTGCCCAGATAAGTGTCCTCTTGTCCCATCAACAGTACTTTTCACTTGCATATACTATTGTGCTGCCATATAAAAGAAAAATATTGAAGATATTCTATATTTTATATATAGGTTTATGTATTGTTGGGGATGTTTATGCTGTGCTGTTTTGGACAAAATAAAAGAATTCTGTTTTAAGGCTACATTCTTAACCCAATTAAGATTGTTTACAAGATCACATATGACAACAATACATTGTCCTTATTCTAACATATTTTGAGGTATCGCCAAGTTTGTTAAAAGCAGTTATAGTTTTCACAGGATGTAAGCAATAATGTGGAAGATAAGAAGTTGTAAAATGATCATCTGTGACTCAGAAATTGAGGGGGGTTGTTAAGACTAAAAACTAAAAACTTTCACTAGGCTACTTGTGATGAAATTTATATGATACTCTAGATTGGGATATACATTTTTTCTGGTGCCATTAAAGCCTCTTTGATCTGAAATATTCATGAGTTCATGAATAATGAACTTTTGAGTAATTTTTCTATATAGAAAATCACCCCGAGGTTCATCATTATGATAGCTCCTGATAGGGTTAGAAAATAGAAACGCTGTTGGTTTTTGTCTTTGGATACTTTCTTTTGACAGGATCATATGCAACCCAGGCTGGCCCAGAACTCATGAACTCATGATCCTGCCCCTCAGCTCCCCACAGCCCTTGCTAATAGTATATTTTATAGACTCCAGATCAGACTGCAGTTCCTTTAGTCAGACACATGATCTGCATTTTATTCCAATGCCAGACCTTACTTTTTACATTATAGTAAATTGTTTCTTTAAAAATTTATTAATTCTGTAATTTAATCTCTCTCTTTCTCTGTCTGTCTTTGTCCATGTTCTGCTACCTTACTTCTACTTTTTTCTTGTTAATACTAAGATGTGAACCGGGACCTTATACATTATGAGCATATGATCCTTCACTGAGATACAACCCTAGCCTTTATTTTCACTTTTTCATCTGACTCATGAGCTTATTTGCTCCCAAGCATAGGTGTATGACTTTCAAAAAATCAACTAGAAAAGTCACGATTTTTATTTTACTGTCATATATGATTTTTTAAAGTTGTGCCTACTAATAAATAAATTCTAAAATTCATATTAGAATCTTCTTTAAGTATGGTAAAAACTAGGCTAAATTATGATGGGGAATTATGTTATTTGGTTCCAAGTTTTGTTAAGAGTCAGAAAAAAAGAAAAGGAAGAAAGAAAGTAATCAGAGATGAACTGTTAAAAGAATTCTTTATGGATTTCTTGTTTGAAAGTGTTTCAGTCTAACCTGAGAATTCTTAAGTTAGGACATCCCTGGCAGCCCCCTGTGAAGGACACTCTTAGCTCTGGATTTTCATTGTAGCCAACCTTTATGAGAGATTTGAATATACCTTGAAAATACATATGGTTAGTTGCCTACTGCCCAAATCTTTTTTTTTTTTTTATAAAGGTGCCTGACTAGTGTTTAACATAAAATGATACAAAGGCCTTTTTCTTTTCCAATGAGATTCCACATTTTTGAGGACATTTTGTTTATGAGTTTGGTATAGGAAACACAACTGCAAGAAATAACTAACTGTATATATAGTAACATTTAAGGTTTATTAAAGTTGATTTAAGAGAGGAATGCCGAGATGTATACTTTTCACCAGAATATATGGAAAACATTGTGAAGAGATGAAAGCCAGTCAAATGAACCCTTCTGTAGAAACTACCAGGGTCACTAAACAGAAAAGCATTCTTGTTTAGAATATTTAAGGGTAACTATCTTTTGTAAGGCCTAAGAAGGTAACTTTGTGATACTTAAAGGCCTTAAGTTTTGGAATGCAGAATAAATTACTTTTAAAAATAGTTAAGCATTTTATACAAGAAAAGCTTTTGTTTTCATTTTTTTCCCAACTACCAAATAGATAGGATATTCTTTAGAAGTAAGGTTTTTGCCATGATGTTAGGTCTAGTTTCTCTTGTCACACTTTGCATTTCCAAATTCTAGCCTTGGGAGCATCATGCCAGTTTTTTTCCTAATGCAAAGACAAAGTTAACAGTAGCTTTTACTTTCTGTATTTAAATTTTTCAAGAAATGGATGTAGACAAATGTTGATATCCACAAATGGGTTTCAATGAATTTCTCTTAATTGGCCATTTTAAATAATCCCAATTTTTATTTCAAGTAACTACAGTTCATTGTATTACTAGGTTTTGTTTTGAATTTTTTTGGGGGTGAGTGGGGTGGGGTTTCTGTTTCTGTTTTTGTTTTAGTGTTTGGTTTTAGGTTCACAGTTTTGTTTAAACAAAATGAATTAAAATGTTCAAATGGTTCATTTCTGTCTTATGTTTGAACATTCTAACTCCCTTAAATAGGTTCCATGTTAAGGTACATGCCCTGTGTTATTAAAGACCAACAAACAAAAAATACTTGTATTTTGTTAAAATGTTTTAGGAAATAGAGTGAAGTGGTCGATGGCCTCTGATGTGCTGAGTTATTAGTAACCCAGTTACTGTCTAAACTGCTGAGCCAGGCTCTCCTGTTCTAGAAGCTGATCATGTTCTTTTGGAAGCTATATTAAGTCTTTCATTCCTTTAAAGAAACAAAAAACAAACCACCTATTGTTTTATTCTCTCAATCTAACAGGAACCACTTAGGCAATTAGTGACTTCTGTGTAGATTTTCAGACTGTGATTTAGTCTGTTAGCTTTGAATTCCCTATAAGGTACATTACCATACAGTGTTATGGTAGATGGGAATACTTTACTAGTATCACAGACAATTGTTTCTTACCATCATGAATGAACAGTCCTGATATTTTACTGAAGAGATTTTGATTTGAGAAAGTAATAAACAGGCAGATTGGAAACTTCCATTGGTACTGCATCACTCATCTGCCAAAAAGGGCCGTAAAACTCTAAAGTATACATCTAAGTGAAGGAATGATTTTTGAGTTCTTAACTAGAGGTGGAGGAAGGAGTTAGGAAAGCCCAAATACAGACCAAGCAGCCCAAAGGTGGGGAAGGAAAATGGGTTTTCACGGTAAGTTGTTGACATCAGATGGTTTTTTATATTTTGATAGTTACTAAGAGAATGTGTAGAAGCCAAAAGGCAGTGGAACAAAGTTGAAGAAGCAGAGAGACTGAATCATGGTAAACATGACTATGGAATATTTATAACTAAACATGGGTTTTAAATAAGATCATCAAAATTAAGATTCCTTATTTTTGCTTATACTAGTATTTATCTCAGTGTCATTTTTTGACAGAATGTGATGACATGGAATATTTTTATTTGAAAAATACTCAACAAATTTGCCAAAATGGTAATGGTTCAGATAAACAGGGAAGTGGAACTGAGCCAGCCCTCATTCAGACTGGAAATAGTCTAGGGGTATCCCATTCTGGATTATACATAGATTAAGATTTTTGCTGTGACTCAGAAGAGTTGAACTGTGTTGAACAGGGAATCGTTCCAGCTCCACCAGGAGTTACACTTTTTATTTATTAATTTATACTAAGGTGATAAGTTAGATATTTCCCCTATATCATGATTCTATTTTTGGAAATAGTCACTGTAGTAATTTCAGACAGTGCGCTGGAACCTTGGCTTTGGCAGTGTCTGAGCAGCGATGCTGCTTTTTCACTTTTCTTCTGCGACCTCAATAGTGCTTCCTCTGAGGTAAGATCCAGGCCAGTGCCAGCAGGCACCAGGCTTCTTGTGCACAAAACAGTCTACAAAGAACTTAGTTCAGATCATGGTTGAAAACATTAAAATTAATGTTTTTGTTAATTAAAAATTAAAATACAGTTAAACGACTTTAAGTTTTTATTTTATTTTGAAGTGCCTAGTTTATAAAGTCAAATGCTTTATTTCTTTGTCTTGTAAGTTAACCAGCTTTGCTAACCCTAAAGCCCTGGGCTCAGTTGTGATGACCTTACTAGACTCCTTGTTTTCTAAAATGCCAGTCTGATCATACCTAGAGCTCATCCTGTGAATGAACGGTGGTACCAGGTCGCATCACTTACTGAGGAGTCAGGCCTCCCTGGCTAGGGGAAGTATTGTGTGTCTTCAGGATGGGGAGGCTCTTTTTGCAGTTCTCATTTCCAGAGAGGGCCTTTTTGATTAGTGTGGGAGTGCGCTTTCTCTGGTTTGTCATTTTAGGTAGCAGTTTTCAAGTTGACAGATGTCGTAGAAAGTCTCATACTGAGAGTGCATTGCAGTTTTGAAAGTTGGCACTGCTTTTCTACTCCCCGGAGTGACTAGCATCGGGTATTTAAAAGTGAGATCATAAACTTCGTTGTTTTGCTTATACAAAATGATATCTTCTAATGCTTATAGTTGAAGGTATTGTTTAAAGAAACAGCAGTCCCTGATGGGGTAAATTTGGTTTTGACCCCAGTTCTAATGATGTATTTAGTTTGCTGATGCTGGTGTCTCCTGCTGCATCAGCTAGATATTGCCTGCCTCTTTGTTAGGCACCCTTGGGGCACCTTATGTTCACCTTGAAGGATGGTATGTGGCTTCCTAGTGCCTCTACTGTCTTTTCAAAAGCCATTTTATAAAAATCTTAGGTAGCCTATTTTAATATTTAAATATATATATTTGTGAAAGATACTTTTAGAACAGACTTTTTTTTTAACATTAAAATTCCTGTATTCCCATTTATAAGAGTAAACTAAAGTTTTTCCAGGCTTAGGAAGTATCTTTTTTCAGAACTGTAATAAGAAAGTCAGATTGAGGTAATAAACTGGAGAGTTCAATGGTAGGGAAAAAGATGTTTGTTGAGGGGAGACAATTTTAAAGGTGAAAACAATTGCTTTGATGTAACAAATTTTTAAAATAAAATTGTGGTTTATTTCTGTAATTTTGTATTTGCTGCTATAGTAGCTCACTATTTTACAGGGCTAATACATAAATCTGACCCCATTTAAAAACTGGGGTCCTGTCTAATACAGGCGGCCTAGAAAGAGACTGCACCAGTCTGCCAGACGGTGGCCGAGTGTTCTGTGAGGCTGATGCATGCTTTAGTATTTGCCTGTAGCTGGCAGCACGGAGGTCAGGGAAACTTCCTACCCTGCCAGCTGGAGCAGTGGGACTCTTGGGGAGCTGGCAACTGTGAAACAGGCCAAAGAGGGCACTTGTGAGGAAAAGCTGAATTCAGTTACATGAATAGGCATTTCCATGTCCTCTACCCCTCTCCTAGAACAGTACTACTCTCCCCTGTGCCAGTCCCCAGTTCACCAGCTTTGTACCAGTTGTCGTCATCTCATTCAAGTATAGCTTTACTTGGTGACAGTGGCCATAGCTAAATTACTTGGCATGTTTGACTTCCTACAATAACAAAATGGTCTTAAACTTTGTTTTGTTTGATTTCCTTAAAAAATGTATACGGTGTCATAACTTCACATTTTATATATTAGTATCTGGCTATTAGTATTTTACAGAAACCATGGTTCTTGGTGACTACATATATATATATATATTTTTGTGACTTTTGTAAACTAAGTGCCGTTTCAATGTTACAATCATTTTTAGAGTTATTGTAATCAATGTGAATATCATGTTTTTTCAAATCTGTTCTGAGCCTAGTGTTTGCTTTGTGAAAATAATGTGTATTGTATATATTCTGTATAGTTAATACTGTACTGAAATATTAGCTTGTTTGATATGAGAAAAGTATGTATTGATTACCTTTTTGCTAGCCTGATTGCTTAATCTTTTTTAAAAAAGATTTAAACTTTTGTTTTTTAAATCTTTAACTGACCTTTATTACATGGTCACAAATAAGTTACAGTTAGAAGGGATGGACAGGGAAAAAATTAGTCTTGAGTGTCTTTGGATAGAAACATGAGACTAAGATTTGTTTTTGTTTTTCCTCATTAAAATATCTTACTGGTGTTTTATGAAATAAGTTTTCCTGCTGTTGTCATTGACCGTTGGCTAGAAGGAGGAACTGGTTATTGAGTATGTGCAGACTGGAGACTCATACTGAACAGCGTCTGTCAGTGCATCTAAGTGTCGATACTGTCACAGCATGCCCAGGCCAGGCGGGAATCATAAAGAGGGCAGTTGGGGAAGCCATCAGGTCTGGGAGCTAGAAGCCAGGTTCCTGGATAACTCTACTCACTGGATGGTGGGTTGCCTCTGGTTTTTATGTTTTGGTTTTTTTCCTATTTAATATTGATTAGGTAGAAACACATTGCTGCCATTTCAGTGGTAACAGACAAACGGGATCAAAACAAGTGGGAAATGGGAAGGCAGCCCAGTGTAGAAGTACTAGTTTGCCTGTGCAAGCATGAAAGGGGCCTCAAACAAAAAGACTGCTGTGCGCTCAGGCAGCCAAGATCATTTTAGTCCGTTAGGTTCCGAGACACAGGCAGGTTTCAAAGAAGTACATGGTAGTGGGCATCTTTTAACAAGTTATCAAACATCTAACGTCTGCCCTATCCTTTATGGTGCAAGATACCAAGGAATCAGGATAGGGCAGAGATAAAATTCAAAATGATTTTATCTTTCAGTGTTCTTGAATGGAAAGACTCAAAGAATGATACTAAAAGCAATAACCAAAGATAATGCTTTCTAAATTGGTTAGAATTAAAATGAATAATTTGAGCCTTCTTTCTTAGGAACAAGGAAGTTTGTTCTAAGAAATAAACAGAGAAAGTTAGCAAATTATAAACATACTAAATTTTGAGGGAGGGGAGGTATACATAAATCTCTTTTCTCAAATTTTAATGTAATTCTTTTTTATATCAAAAACCTTCACAGCTGTAAATCAGAGATAGAAAGCCCACCCTCCCTCCAGCAGACTGCTCTGTGACCACAGTTGGAATACTAGACGAAAAGAGTTGCTGTTGCTGCCAGTCCTGTTCCTTTGGTTCTAATCAGTGTACTTGAATTATCCTGCCCACCCCACCCAAAAAAAATGAAATATTTGTACTTTGTAAACAGGGAATAGACCATCACAAAGCACATGGCAGAGTTGGCAGAACTTCTACATTGGACCCCCCATTTGTCAGTCTCTGCCTAATTTTTCCCACAACCATGTTTTTAGCCACAAAAGTTTATTAGCGGTGTACAGTAGGCTCTAAGACAACACTTACATTCTATCAATAGAAGAAATTAAAAAAAAAAAAAAAAAGCAGCAAGCCCTTCTCTGCTGCCTTTGGAGTTTCTTCTGTTTCCATGTGAAAGCACTGAGTTTCTTTTCCGGCTGTTTCAGACTTGACTGTGCCACCTGTGTAGCATGACATGGTACCTTTGGCTCTCTCCCCAGACCCCATCCTGAGTCCTGCTGCTGGTTTTACTGGAAGTCATTTACTGAATGAGTCTCATTTACCAGGGAACCTGAAGCCTTGGGCAGGATCAATACTTGCCCCACCCCACTGCAGGCACAGCTAGTATGTGGACAGCCTCAGGTGAATCATCTTAATTCTTGTCATTTAGAGATCATCCATTGGAAAAGTTGCTATAGAACACAACCAAATAAAGATTCTCAGACTGGTTTAAGTTGGGGACCAAGGCAGAAATGCTGTCTTAGTGATAAGTGTGTGTATACATAGTAGGGTCCTACAGTGACTCACTGCAGCATAGACTGGCTGTTAATCCTCTTGGCCAGGTCAGAGGGAACTCAAACTATACCACCCTGTGTCAGCAATTTTTCCACCTGCTTCCTCAAACATCACAGTCCATGTCTCCCTTGTCAAGGGAGCCTCCTGCTCTCCGGGTGGGACTTCCCCTTTAACATAACGTTCTGTATTTTCATTAGTTGTCATTGACAACTGTCGTATTCATCCTGGCCTGACTGTCAGGAAAAGCATGGGGGTGAACCAGCACTTGAGGAAAGGTTTGTGTGGACAGTGAAGGAGAGTGCTTCAGGTAGAGGGCCGGCGAGAGCAAGATAATGTACCCGACTTTGTGGCGCTCCTGCGTGGGAGGAGTAGAGGATTGTGATGAAAGCACCTGCCCAGCATAGAAGGGTCAGGTGGAGTTCAACACTGACTTGGGATTTTTTTGAGGCACTGTCTCAAAAGAAGAAAGAAAAAACTGTATTTGGTAGGAAAACTGATCAAGTTAACTTGAGCAGAAGACCAAGGTCAGAGCTCTCTAGAAAGATTCAGAACAAGATTTGAGAGAATACAGGCTTCACTGAGTCCCTCAGAGTTCAAGTTAGAGCCCAAGAGAAGGTAAGAGAGTAGAACTGCCAGAGAAGCATCAGGTTAGAGGGTTGGCTAGAAAGTGGACCTTGAGCCGAAGTGCAAGACTTGGCTCCCAGCAGTGGGGAATACCTTCTATGTCCATTCCATACCCATGGCCTATTACACTGCTCAGGTAACCTGGCCTTGGTTTTGAAGGGAAAGTCCAAAATAAAGGAAGAAAGAATGAGTTTTGACTGGGCAACTGCAAGAGGACCACTGTATAGCTTAGAGTTAGAATGTGCACTCTAATGTCAGAGTCCCCAGGTGTGATCCCCGTTGCTGCAGGTCAAAGGATGAGCCTATGTCCAGCTGAGGAAAGTGTCCCTCCTTAGAATGGTTGTATGATATTTAGTTTGTTATTAATGTACTTGTCTTCTGGCAGAATTCGTCTACTCAACCAAATTAGAGAGATTTGAGTATTCCAGACATTCTCTGGCTTCTTAAGTCATTGGTTCATAAGCATTGGACAACCCTAAAACCCGGTGTGTTGGGGCATAGAAACACAGATCTTGCCTGCTGGAGTTGTCCTGGGAGGGTGGGGAGCAGGCCAACAAAAAAGAGAAAGGTGGACTATGTAGGTTAGTATGTGCTGAAGGAAAATCTATTGGTAGGCTGAGTGAGGTCAGGTGACCAAAAGTGAGTTAACTCAAGCCCCGAAGGAGATAGAGAGTCACAGGCATAGGGAACCATGCCTGCCAGTCCATGTGCACACATTGTCTTTCTGTCTCTCCCCCCTCCCTCCTTCTGTCTCCCCTTCCCTCCCTCCCTCCCTCTCTCTCTCCCCCTCCCTTCTCCCCTCACCTCACATAGCACCCAACTTCATGACCAGGAAGGTGCGCTATCCAGAACAAAAGCTAAAAGCAGACATTGCTGAAGAGATTCAGGATGTGAAACTGAATGACAGTGGGAGTTGCTCTTCCGCTCAATGCATGTCTTCCTGCACTTATTCAGAGGCCTGTTCTCTGCAGAACAAGCCACTAAGTAGGTTCACTCAGAAACTCAGTGTTACAGATCTAGTTTTTGGAAGAGCTGAGCCTTGTTCTCAATATCAATTCTTTTAACATCATTAAAATGTCATTTAAAATGCTCTGCAGGCTACAGTGTACTCAGTTACAGAGTAGCATCCTCAGGGTGAGACTTCTGCATGTCAAACACATACCTTGGTGCAGAACTGATGGCTAGGTAAACCACTCACTGCTAGTCCCAGAATGCACACACATGCATAGCTCCCAACCAAGCCTGTGTTCCCCTCAACCAGTGAAGCAGCTTTGTAAAGACCTAGGAAGGACTGACGTCTAAGCAGGAAGCTGTGTGTAAATTGAGCACTGCTCCCTAGTACCCAGACCATGCTACACTTGTAAATAGTTCTCAAAAGCTGCATACTGTGGGATCCCCTTATCACATCTTCATGCACATCCATGTGTACATGTAACGTTTATCTCCATGACATGTAGGCGGAGCTGAGGAAGAAGGGCCTCCCAAGGTCTCAAAGTACTGCTGAACTATTTTTAGACCCATGCAAGGCACCTCTCCCAGGTCTGACTGATACAGGACACTGCCACAGTCCGTGGACTGAAAGCCTCATAAGATCAGCCCAGTCCTAGTGAGTCCACCCTTCCTTGCTCAGGATTCTCCATGCTGTCACCTGCAGCATCCTTTCCAGTCCACGTTCCTACATGAGTTGCGGATTCCCCAGTGTGCACTCTCCTCCCATCAGTACCCTCATGCCCCGTTCTTGCCTCAGCTTCTAGTGTGTGCTGTGGGTGTACCAGTTCCCTCCCATTAGCAGCAAGGAGGATGAGCAAGGCAAGCAGTTCTTCTGTACTCACTGGGCAGAGGAAACCAGCACAGCTCAATCCTGACAGCTCCAGGATCCTGGGTACCTGCAGAAGCCAGAAGAGGCTATGAATCCCTAGAACTGGAATTAAAGATGGTTGTGAGCTGTCGTGTGGGTATTGGGAATAGAACCTGGGTCTTCTGGAAGAGCACCCAGTGCTCTTAACATCTGAGCCATCTCTTTGGCTCTTAATTAACATACTTGTTGCACAAAATAATGACTTTAGCTGTAACATTTTTATACATGAATATACCATGCCTTGTCATAATTTCTCATTCTCCCATTTTCTCACCTCCATACGTCCCTCTCCCTGGCTCCTAATAGTCTCTATTTTCAGGTCATCTTATTTTTTGTTTTCACATGTAAAGATAACATGTCCTTTTAATCTAAAGTATGTCCTGACTCCAGCTCTGATTGATTGCCATGCTGAGGATAGAACCCAGAGCTTTCTTCATATTGGGCATTACCACTGAGCTAGCTAGTCCACAGATTCCAATACTTGTCTTTCTGGGGAGGAGTTATTTTACCCCATATTATACCCATCCCTTTTCTTGTAAATAACAGGATCCCATTCTTTATGGGTGAATAATGCTCCATTGTATATATAAACTACATTTTCTTTATCTGTAGATAGGCACTCAAGCTAATTTTATGACTTGGCTGTTACGGGTAATACTGCAGTCATCATGGGAGTACAGGTATCTATATTTGGGCTGATTGGAGTCCTCTAGATGTTTCCAGAAGTGGTATAGCTGGATCATAGGGTAGTTCATATCCTTTTTTTTTTTTTTTCTTGAAACACTTCCACACTGACTAAAAGTTGGGTCATGTGTAAGGGCCCCTTTTACATCATCCCCAAAATTTGTTGTCTAT